ACGGCATAATCTACTAGATCGGTTTACAGAATAGGTTAAAATGGATTAATTGCAAGCATATTTTACCACATCGGTTTACAGAATAAGTTAAGTGAATTGGTTATTGGCATATTTTACCACATCGGTTTACAGAACAAGTTAAGTGGATTGGTTATTGGCAGAATTTACCACATCGGTTTACAGAATAGGTAAAATGGATTAATTGCAGGCATATTTTACCAAATCGGTTGACGGAATAAGTTAAGTTGATAAAGTTGCGGAAAAGATTTAATGTTACTGTGTAGGAGATTAGTCATCGATTGCTGAGCGTAGGACTACGTAGGACGTGGTAGTAGCTTCCTCCCGTAGGAAGCTGGTAAATTATGGTGTTGTTAGCAATCGAGACTAGCTGGCAGTTATTCTCATCGCCTTCGATCCAGGCGAAACCGAAGCAAGCCGGGGTGTCGGCGCAGCGGCGGCAGCAGCAGATGATGGAGCGATTTGTTAACACTTCTCTGTCATCGTTGCGAAATGCTGCAGCGCATACCCGGCTGGCAGACCCACGTTGTAGAACGCCATCTGGTGGGTTGATACGCCGTCTGTGAACAGCTAGGACGCGCCGTGCATGCAGGTGGATAAGGGACGGGTAAGCACGTGTGTAGTGTAAAAACTTTCAGGTAAAATCGTGAAAAGTTGCACCCACTCTCCAACCACACGAGTTGGAAATGTATTCTGATATACTAGTTCCACAAGGATCGCACAACGCTATCTGGTGGTGTACATCCGTCTCTGGTGGATGAACCGATATAGAATTTTGGTTATTCATACAGTTTTAGTCGCATAACGTCAATAATATCGTAATTAGGAGTGGATAATTTAAGAATTTGAGAATAAAATGCAGTTGTGTGCGATTTCCTGTACGATCGTTGACAGAACTAATATAGCGAATTAGGCATTCATGCAAAAAATCTTTACAGTCCTTTACAACCTGAACTTTTCCTGTTTACTTATAATACCACTTGTTGCTATTGAAATTAATTAATTGAATGACACGATGACGTCAGAGAAATTTAGTCATGATAGATTCTGCTTCCTTGTGTCCATCCTGATCGAAAGAATAGCAACTGTCAGAATACTTGATTTCATTATAAATGCGTGTAGACGGTCTGTCGGTCTCACTCTCGTGTCTCGTGTCTCGGCTATGTATGAGTCAAGAGTGTATATTTACAAACAATATAGTAAAATTGGAAGTATAATGCAGCAATTTAATCATAAAAAGTAAAGAGAATCACTTACATTTTGTGAAAAAATGGATTTTTTTTTACTTTAACTATTTTCAGTGACGTAATCACTTTAACTATAGGGGTTCGGAAAAGGGGGAGTGGTGGACAGCATGGATGACAGGTATGGTAAGGATAGAAAGGATAGGATTGCAGGAATAGTAGAGATGGCAAGGATAGAAGGGACAGCAGCGATAGCAGTGATATCGCAGCCTGTTCTGCTAGCATCTATGACAAATACGACATACGCATATACGCTCTCCTATGACACTATTTCTCATAGGAAGATTCTTCCTATGACAGATATTGGCGAGTCAACTTCGTTCCGCTTTACAGCTGAAATTCACTACTTGCGTTCATAATAACGCTCCTAAACTCCTATAATGCGCACAACACATACAACAATATTTGTCATAGGAAGAATTTTCCTATGACAAATAGTGTCATAGAAGAGCGTATATGCGTATGTCGTATTTGTCATAGATGCAAGCAGAACATGTTGCAAGGATAGCAGGGATAGACAGTGGGCGCCTGTCTATAATATCATATATCCTTCCTTACTGGGATTCACTACTTCTTCTCCCCCCCTCACCTTCTCCTTCGCACTGCGGTGACACGACCCCTCCCCCACTGGCACTTGGAGCGTTTCAATAAAATATAATGCTAAATAAATACGAAATCTATTTACTACCAAAGTCTTAATGTTTCTCTACTTTCTTTCGCCTATTATTGCCGACAATTTCCTGTGAATGCCGTGCATGTGTGTTGCAGAGGAGCATTTGGTAGAAAACCTGGACCAAGACTTTGGTAGTAAATAGATTTCGTACTTATTTAGCATTATATTTTATTGAAACGCTACAAGTGGCAGTGCATGT